TATGGAGAGGTACTGGGCATTGGAACTAGGGAATATCGTGTCAGCCCCAGGCAGACTTGCAAGTTGTGCTTGCAATTTTCTAGCAATTTTAACCGATTTAAATTTTCCTATATGAAACTTGATCAGATGTATTCACATGACCCACCAACATCAGTTCATATAATTACAATAATATTATGGTGACCAGATTTCCAGGTATAGTCCCTGTCTTCAGGAGGCTGTTCCTGGAAAAAAGTGTCCCCACATATATCTCAGTTTAATAGATAAGAATCCCTGGCCTGGTAATCCACTATGAAGCTTGGCTGAGTTCTCCAGCTGCCTGTAGTGCTGATTGACAGGAGTGACTGCAACGTAAAGACTGAAGTTTTCTGAAATTAATTTCCAGGAACACTTCTGAGTTGTAAAGGGGAGCTCCTAATTTAGGAGGAATTTGTGGTATCACATAGGTAGGTATATCTATCACCTATAGCAACTCATTAGAAGCCAGCCTCTCCTGGTGTGGTAAAGTAGCAGCTAATCAGAACCCAGTTTCTCCCGGTGTGAGCTGACTGATCGCTATGGGTTATATACTGTACTGGGACAGATTAAATGCAAAAGTGTAACCAATGATGTCTGGAATTGTAATGTGTGACTGGGTGTTTGGGGAGGAAGGGGGGGGCCAAGACTACTTAATGGGTGCTGCTATTGTGGTTGACTGTGCTGTAGTGCTACAGGTCTGATGGGCAGTAGGCAGGGACAGAAGCCGGCAGCTGCATAAATTACACATACAAGAATAAAATATGGGCAGTTGAGGAGTCAGGAGGACTCAGGGAATTGACCAGCAGATGCAATGCAATGACTAGGTATGGTAAGTACAACTCATTGAAGGCACAGGGTTGTACTGCAAAGAGGAGGAGGGATTGTTTGTTTGGTAGGCATTTTGTGCTGTACTTCCTTTTGACCTCTGCAGTCTGTGCGTTACATACTCTGACCTCTGCAGTCTGTGCGTTACTTACTCTTGACCTCTGCAGTCTGTGCGTTACTTACTCTTGACCTCTGCAGTCTGTGCGTTACTTACTCTTGACCTCTACAGTCTGTGTGTTACTTACTTTTGACCTCTGCAGTCTGTGCGTTTCTTACTCTTGACCTCTACAGTCTGTGCGTTACTTACTCTTGACCTCTACAGTCTGTGTGTTACTTACTTTTGACCTCTGCAGTCTGTGCGTTACTTACTTTGACCTCTACAGTCTGCAGTACTTACTTTTGACCTCTGCAGTCTGTGAGTTACTTACTCTTGACCTCTACAGTCTGTGCGTTACTTACTCTTGACCCTGGCAATCTGTGCGTTACTTACTTTGACCCCTGAACTCTGCGCACTATGCACTGCTGGTATCTGCACTCTGTGTGTTAAGCACTCTTGACCAATAGCAATGTAGGTTTTTACTTAACCCCTTAACCAAATTAGCATACCTGGCTTGTATTGGGAGCACGGCGCACTCCCAGCACAGAGACCGGGGTCTCACTGACTGTCCCCGATCCCGCTCTAACAACCTGTCCTGAAAAAAACAAGGTATAATCCACCTGGATGCACAAAGTAGTTGTGATGATATGTACGGTTTTGCTAAAACGTCAGGTGCAAAAATGTGCTTAGGCATTAAAATTTGTTTTACCCTTAGGCAAGGAGGGGTTAACCATACCTCCTTTAGGCCTCTACCTCTGTTAGCACAATTTTCCTAGTCCAATATAGCCACATCCACCATTTGGCGCACTGCACTACACAAGCTGCTATTAGCCCTCCTCTGTTCCATTCTCAGGCTGATCCAGGTGTTGCTTGAGACTCTGGGGTGGATCCCGACCATATGGTCACGATCCTTCCCTAGCCTGGCCAGCTCTGTGTCAGCTGAAAACAGATCATGGAGATGCAGAATGAACTGCACCCTGGTGATCCATAGGAAAAGGGGCTTTAGCTGTACTTATCCTTTAACCATAACTTCTTTAGGCCCCTCCTACTGTTAGCACTACTTGGCCACATCCACCATTTGGCGCACTGCACTACACAAGCTGCTATTAACCCCTCTTCTGTTCAGTTCTCAGGCTGAGCCAGTTGCTGCTTGAGATCCCGACCATAATCCTTTCGTGTTATGCATCTTGCTATTAATCCCTCTCCTCCCCCTGTCCCACCCCCATCAAAAATGAGCATTGTCTGTATGGTATCCCCAAGATTTCATTTGGAAAATTTGATCACCGTAATTTATATCAACTTGGGATGATGGTAGATTGATTTCATGTGGTTGACTATTTTTCCTATCAAAAGCTAGTCAAAATTGGCCTAAATTACTACAGTGTTGGCATCTGAAGGTCAGTATCAGCCCCAAAATTAGAAACATGGAAAAGTGACAGCAGAAAAAAGACCAAGTGGTCTATCGAGTTTACCTGCTTTTTGTTTATTACATTTTTTATTTAAACATATTTTTGTTGTTTTTTTTTATTATTATTATTATTATTATTATTTATTTTTGTTACTTTTTTTGGCCAAGTATAGGTCTGAGTTTGTCCCAAGCATGTTACTGTTGACTGACTCACTACTTGTCCCCATGTTCTTAATCTTGGTTTCATATTGAAAGTCCTGCCCTCTTGAACCTTATTCACCCCCTTGATGTATCTGAAGGTTTCAGTCATGTCTCCCATTCCCTACTTTCTTCCAGACTGTACATATTAAGTTCCCAAAGACAGAAGTGAGTATAAAAAAAAGCAAACACTGGAGGGTTTTCTGGCTAACAAAAGATAACAGCGGGTATTCTGTCCTGCATACACACAAGGCTTTAAAATGTATAAAATGGCTTACAGGTTCCCTTGGATTACAGACAGTAAACACAAGCTTGAAATGGGTTAGTATACACCATTTGTATCTGTCCATAGCTCTGTGCCGGCCATATTACTGTTGAATGACCATAAAACACTTCATATACAAAACATTAGCCACTAAATATACTCACAGAGCACATGCCCAATATAATGATACAAATGATTTTCCCATTGTGGAGGAAATCCCAACTGATAATGTTTATGGCTCACCACAAAATGGCTTTAAGCTAACATATTGACTTCTTTTCTTCGTGATAAGCATGGCATGTCTAAGTGTCTGGCTCTAAGTACTGCCTTAATGGGACCTGCCATTAACAGTCACACTTCACATAAATCAATAGGCTGCATGTCAGAATGAACAAATCACATTATTTTCAATAAAAAGTACATTGTTTGCCATGTAAGAGAAAAATGTTGTTACTAAGCACTTTTGTGTAACCAAAAAGGTCACTGTGGTTATTTCATGTCATCAGAGACTGCAGAAAGTGTTCTATCAGAGGGTCATGGTCTAAGAGACTTGCAGTGTAATAGCAGGGGAACAGAGCCTGAACATGTAAATTACAAACAATACATAGAAGTAAAGTACTATTACATTTAGATCATTGTCCCTGAGCTCCCCAGCACCCCTCCCAGTTTTATATTAACCTGTTCCAGATCCAGCAAGATATCGCAGACTGGAGAGCACAGCTGCTTGTCACAATCTGGCCTGCACATGCACAGTGTACTACCATTCATATATATGAGCTGGATCAAGGCCAGGTGAGTATAAAGTTGGCCATAGATGGTTTGAATCTCAGGCGGTTCAGCAGAATCTGGCTGAGATTTCAAACCATATGGGCAGGCTGATTGTACCCAAGTCGATTGTTGTACGACTTGGGTACAACCAGCCTGTTACATTTTTTCATGCAAATAATGCCAGCAGCTATAGTCACTTCAATAATCACTGTGATTCCCCATCAACACTTAAACACGAGACGTTTTTACAGCAGCTGCTTTTGGCTTTTGATGTTTTTTTCTACAGCCAGTAAACTCCCCAGCATGTTATCCTATGTGTCCATGCACACATAGACTGTAATCAACGTTTTTTGGCTGAAAAAAAACCCAGGACTTGTGGGATTCTAGAGGAGTTTTTTAGCTGTAAAAATGCTCTAACGCTGAAAAACGCGTTAAAATGCCGCAAACCGGCATTTTTGGACGTTTTTTTAAAATGCTAAAAAAAGCGGGAAAATGCCGCTAAACGCTAATGCTAAAATGCTACAAAAAAGATGAAAAACTCACATTTTTAATGTGACTTTACACAGCTAACATTACCAGCATTATAAAAATGCCCAGTGTGCATGGAGCCTGACTGTGTTGGTGGAGGAAACAAGCGATTTTCTTTCCTGCAACCCCTGGAGCTACAAGAAAAGACAGTCGCCTCTTGATGATGTTAGAGATGGAGAACCCAACATGTTGCAGCAGAGCAGGACTGGAAAGTCACATGATCACGGCCACAGGTATGTAAAAAGCATTTTAGGCTCCACTCACACTTGTATGACTCCAAAGTTGTGCTACTTTGGGGTGCAACTTTGGTGCAACTTTGATGCAACTTTGGATGGATGCAACTTGGATATGACTTGTTCCTCTGCAAAGGCAGACCCAGTGTTGCACCACTGTTGCATGTAAAACATTCAGGTATGACTTCCATGCAACTTGGAGGGTTAGCATTGAAGTCTATGGTACTCAAGTTGCATGAAAATCAGACCAAAGTAGTGCATGAACTACTTTGAAGTCGCTGCTACTTTAAGTTGCACAGATATGAATGGTTATCATTGGAAAACATGGGGTACAACCTGCATGCAACTTTGATGTCGAAAGTCGCACAAGTGTGAATGGGGTCTTAGATAGAGTTGTTATTTTTTTTTTTCGTATAGCCATTAGTTAGAGGGGATGGATGGAAGGGTTGATGATTTTATGCTGGAGGGACGCTATAAATAAATTACTTTTTTTAAATAATGCATCAAGTGATCTTTAATTTGCTCTGAGCGAACATAATAAAGGTTTGCTTCAACCTATGCAGTTTAAAGCTGAAATTTAGGTATGGCAATTTTTACATAGTTATTGGTCCAGCTTGAACTAATGTAGGTATGTATGTGCAGGGGCGGACTGACAACTCATGGGGCCCCTGGGCAATAGGGGATCATGGGATCCCTGTGTTCTTGCCCAAACTCAAAAAAGCCTATGAAAAAGGTACCAGGGGCATCTCATGGGGCCCCCTACTGACCCAAATGGCCAGTCCGCCCCTGTGTATGTGCCATATCTGTGGGATCCCTGTATAATTTGGAAATCACTACAGTAGGCACTGCTGCTACAGTGATCTTCACTAGCATCCAAGTTCCGTGTTGAGTGAATGCCCTGTTGCATTGTGAATACAGGAGGTCATTTGCTCAGCATGGATGCCATTCAGGGAACACTTTGCATTTTCTCCATGAATGCTAATCATTCACTGATTGTACAAGGTGGAGAGCTCATGGTGACCTCATGATCGCCACCTCATCCAGCAAATGCTTTGCATTTATTAAGGGAATGCAAAATTTTCTCTGAATGACATCCATGTTGAGTGAGAGACCTCCTATGTTCACAATGCAGCAGGGCAGCCACTGGCACTGGACTCAGAAGCTAGTGGAGATCACAGTTAGTAGCAGTGACTACTACAGTGATTCCTAGCTTCTCTGGGGATCTCACAGGTATGGAACATACCTCTGTGGGCAGCACAGTGGCTATGGGCAGCACAGTGGCTAAATGGTTAGCACTTCTGCCTGGCAGTACTAGAGTTGTTGGTTTGAATCCCAACCATGGCACCACCTGCCTGGAGTTTGCATGTTCTCCCTGTGCCTGCGTAGGTTTCCTCTGGGTACACCAGCTTCCTCCCACACTCCAAAGACAGCGCGTTAATTGGATCCTGTCTAAATTGGCCCTAGTATGTGTATGTATGAATGTAAGTGAGGGACATTAGATTGTATGCCCCTTGAGGGTTAGGGACTGATGTGAATGTACAACACATATGTAAAGTGCTGCATAAATTGACGGCACTATATAAGTACCTGAAATAAATACTGGTACAAAAATGAAACTGCAATATCATATTTAAAAATACACACAAAATCATCTCTTTCCTTTGCAGCTTTCTATTTTTCAATGTCACTGAGCCTTTTTTTCCCATGGATGTTATGTGTGGCCTGCCTGTTCAAGGCTGAGCTGTAGTGGAACATACAGTAATAATAGCAGGAGTCAATATCATGCATGGCTGCATCCCAGTGAACATGTAAGTGGTTTGCGCTGTCTTGTATAAGGGTGTTTGTCACATGTAATCTCCTGTGTTACCCAGACAAGGTTCAGTCTGTGCATGAAAACAGGCGATCAGTGCAGGAATGTTCCGTGTTCTCTATCACCTCTGTTCTTCTCTGTAGATCAGGGAGCACATTCCAGAGTGGAGGGAAAGCAGTTTAGACGCAGTGGCATAACTTCTCTGGAATGTCTGCATCATACATACTCCACATACTCACAGCCCCAATGAACAATCAGAGTCTGCCACATTATTCAACTCTGGGATGTACTCAGGATACATACACAGCTTGTAATAAACACGACTTGCTGTAATGATACAGCACATTCAGTGCTCTGTACAGGACCAGCACTGAGGACAATGTTCTTTACTTGTCATAAATAGAATATATTAGTTGTGGAAATGTACCTCTTATCCTTTTTTCTTTCCACTAAAGTGAGCAATGACCTGATGTCACTTCAATCTTTCCTCTCTTTCTTTTTAACTTACGAGTTTCCATAACTACCGAGAAAATATTTAGCACAGTGTAAAAAATATCCATTGTTTCTAAGAATATGAATTGTGAAAATATGAGTGTGAAGAATAAATCAGCTAATAAAGGATTCTTGTCACCCGATATATGGTCAGATGTAAAATCATAATGGGGAGCTATATTGCAGATTTTATTGTATTTCAAAGCTGAAAAATGATGTGTGTGTATATTAGAGGTAATGAATTAAATTTCAGTGAGGTCTGATCACTTACATTTCTTCCCAGCAGAGGTCCAAATCTCATGTTTGTATAGAATAGATGGCATTTTATCTTAAAAATAAGCAATTTTTAAGATATAATTACATCTTCAAAGCAATTTCCAAAGCATTTCAATAATATTTATTGTCAAACTTTCAGTGTGCCTCCTTACATCAGGTGTCCCCATCAGTGTACCTCTTACATCAGGTGTCCCCATCAGTGTACCTCTTACATCAGGTGTCCCCATCAGTGTACCTCTTACATCAGGTGTCCCCATCAGAGTGCCCTGTTACATCAGGTGTCCCTAACAGAATGTCCCAATACATCAGGTGACCTCATCAGACATCCCTTTTACATCCGGTGTCCCCTATCAGAAAGCCCCTTTACATCAGGTGTCTCCATTAGAATTCCCCCATACATCAGGTGTCCTCATTAGACTTCACTTCTACATCAGGTGTCCCTATCAGATGTCCCCCTTACATCAAATGTCCCCATCAGAGTGCCCTGTTTCATTAGATATCCCCATCAGAGTTCACCTATACATCAGGTGTCCTCATCAGTGTGCCCCCCTACATCAGGTGTCCCCATCAGTGTGCCCTCTTACATCAGGTGTCCCCAACAGTGTGCCCTCTTACATCAGGTGTCCCCATGAAAATGCCCTCTTAGATCAGGTGTGCCCATCACAGTGCCCCCTTACATTGGATGTCCCCATCAAAGTTAATTTAGGTGTCCCCATACGTTTTAATGCCTGGCAGGCAAAGGGCAAGAGCCAGGAGGTCTGGACAGGGGACTTTCCACTTCCGTCCTCCTGTGATGTCCATTGAGGGGCACAGACATGACATCATTGGTTGTTAGGATGCCAGAAGTTCAAGAAATTGTTTCCATCCTGTTCATCCTAATTTTCTTGACATTGCAGTCAAAAACAAATGTCAACCAAAATATGATCTGTAAGAAAAGCAGACACTGGCATTTGTTAAAAGGTTACTAAACCCACAACAGTAAAATCAGTCTGTATATGCAGTAAAGCATGCTTGTTATACTCACTGTGGAACCTAATTGGTTAATCTTCTGCATTGTGTAAAAAAGCTGTTTGATCCTGACTTCTCTGCCCCTCCTCTTGTTCAAACATCCACCTGATAAGACAGACTGAACCTGTAGCCACATACACATGCTCAGTTTGGTGTGTATTGCTGGAGAGGTTTTTTTTTTTTCTTGGGAGAGTGCATGTGATCAGCACAGGGCCACACAGAGGTCAGGGGGTCTGCATCCTCCTAGAGCAGAAAGAAAACTCCTCCTACAAGCTTTAACCAGTGCTCTGCTGGACACTTATAGAAGTCACAAGACTGATATATACTGTTGATGAAAAAAGGTATTTAGCAGTTTATATTTACTAAAATAATTGCATTTCCATGTTTTGTGTACTGTGGGAGACCAGTTATAGTGAATGCAGGGTCCTGGGTTTAGTAACACTTTAGGTTGAAGATGGGCAATCTTTACCATCATAAAAAGCTTTACACTGACAAATAAAAGGCTCTTTGTCATCTCCCTGAAATAATTTACGCTTTTCAAAAAAAACATTCCACTATGTGACCACTCTTCATATTCACTGTGATGTCTAATAATTCCCAATGTAGAAAAGTGCTCTCACAATGGAACACATCAGAAGGGAAACATTGTGTCTGCTTTGGCTTGTGTGTGGAAATCTGAGTCCAGAGCAGCTCTGATGGACACATTTGGCAGTGTTGATGGAGGAACTGAAACCTCATAGTATTTGTGGAAAGTGACTAATAATGTAAATTACTGCATGATCTCTTACTTATTGGGATTTCTGTGTTGCCTTGTTATATGCCTATGAAGCAAGGCTGGAAATGTGACTGGACAGAATTTTACATGGTAGGGGCATTACAACATCTATATAAAAATCACCTAATGCAGGCCATAGACGGGTCGTTTATCGGACGAATTTCGTCTGCACGAAAAATATTCACGCCGTTGGTGGGGCCAGCCCGTCGGCCGTTTTTTGTGGATCTTGACATTTATTTTTATCAGCATGCTGGAAAATCATTCATGCTGGAAAAACGGCCATTTTTCGTGGACATTGGTGGCAGCATCGGCAACGTGGCCAACCGATTTTTCGTTCATCGGCCCATCTATGGCCTGCCTAAGTAACAGAATAACTAAATAAATAAAAACTAGAACAAAGAAATGACAGGCCCATTACATGGGTTGTATGAAACAGCTAAAAAGAGAATACTCCCTGTACTTGTTCACAAGGCACTCAATTGATCAGATAAGAATAAAAATGGGACTACAGTCATAACTTTATGTAGTGTAGAATAGAGTGAAGAAAAGTTAGAACCTTTGTCAAGTGTTTATTGTTGCTTGTTCCTGGGGGAGAATCTGCCGCACTTTCTCTCCCAGGGACAATAGGAAATGGGAAGAAAGTTCCTAAAAGGAAGAGCAAATCCCACCTTTGACAGTTGTCACTAGGTATGAGCTTGTTTTGGTTTAGAACCAGGTTCACGTCTGGACCAGGAAGCCAGCTGTCACTCTTGGTCCAATAAGTTGCGATTCCCAAACTTGATTCTGTACAGACGCAAGCTCATTCCTAGGACTTGTCACTGACCAATTTCCTCATTCTTGGTGAAAACTCAAAAATTGTAAATGTTTCCTTACTTTTACAAAAGTCAACCTCTCTGGTGGAGACACAGGCAGCAACATCTATGTGTTACCAGCAGAGTCCCCCCCTATTCTTTCAGGGTGCAGAGAAGCAGGGTGGAAGCTGAGAGGTGGTCTGGATGGAGGAAGTCCGCTCCTCCTGTAATTGAATGGGGAAGGGAAACACATCATGAGTTTCTAGGATTCTGGCAGTCCTAATAACCAACAATGGTGGATGAGACAGGTTTTTTTTCACAGACATTTGTCGTGGGCCAAGTAAAATCATGTCATGGGTTGGATGTGGCTCATTGATCATAGTTTGGAGACCCCTGATTTAGATGGATAAACATGTGTTCCTGATATTGAAAGTTCTAGCTCCAGATTAAAGTCCCATTCTGGGCTCCCATCCCTCACCCTTCCAACCCATCCTACTAGTGTTTGTTCTTTTCCCTATCTGGTGTAGCCAAATATATTCACCAAAGACCCCCATCCTGGTCACCGGAAGCCAGTGTTTCTAGGTGTGCGGAACCTCTGATCAAGCCCTGCGATATTGCCCAAGACCACTGGTCCTCTCTGCTTCCCTGGGCTGATAATAGTCAATAGTCTTCAGGATCCTGTGAGAGCCATGCCACTGGACATGCAATAGGAAATGTCCATGTTTTTTTTTCTTAAGTGATCAGATAGTGTGTCAGGGAGGGAGACATGGGAGAGCGGCAACTTTATCCCGGAGAGGGGCTTTAAAGTTTTCCAAGCTCATTACAATAATTACAGTTTTTCTTGATGAGTGCACATGACAGGCTCCTCAGCTCATAGTAAACCCCACAGCACTGGAAGATTGTGGCCCTGAGGTTGGGGGGCTTCAGAGGAAAGAGGAATTCAACTAAAACCAAAGCCAGGGACACTTCACATTGATTGTAAGTAATGTCTCTTGTGCTGATTTATTTTTTAAATTTTTGACTAAACTTAGGCTTTAAAGTGATTTTAAAGGAAAAATATATTTAAAAAAAATAACACACATGTCATACTTACCTGCTCTGTGCAATGGTTTTGTACAGAGCAGCCCCAATTCTTTTTTTTTAGGTCCCCCCCCCTCCCCACGGCAGTCCTGGCTGCTCTCCCTGCTGTGTTACAGTGAGCTGTGATAAAATGCATACATGCTTCATTTTTTCTCAGTGTTCTGGGGCAGTAACAGTACAGTAACACCACACTGCACGCTGCTGTACAGTAACATTAATGAAGTATCACTTTGATATCGTCAAGTAAAGTGAAAAAAAGCAGCCATGTGGTACACTGAAATGTGCATCACGCTGCTCCCTACTGCTGGCTCACTGCAGTTGGAACGGACAGCTGCCGCATGCTAAACCGGTTTGAGTGTCAGTTGTCTGGGGCAGTGTGAATGAGCCCTTAAAGCCAGTTTATCACAAGGGCACGTAGAAAACTGTTTATACCGCAATTCTGGTGTGATGTGCAGTGCAGAAAACTGCAGCATGCCTGCAATGGGTACTGGACAGCACTGCATGTCACTGCACTGCAGTGCAATGCACCATGCTGCTGACTGAAAACATTATTAAAATGCCACTGTGACACTGCAAATAAATAAAAGAAAAAAGTAAACAGTGCATTTTACCATGCGGGTTAGTGCGAACCAGCCCTTAAAGCTTGCAGGAAAGAAAATCACTCCATTTCTCCATCAGCACAATAAGTGCTGATGGGAAATCCCTCCCATGGAGCCGCCACCCTCAGGAGAACACAGTGATTACTGTTAGCGCCTATAATAGCTGCTAGCAATAATTGCATGTAAATCCGACAGGCTGATTGAACCCAAATTGATTGATCGATCAATTGGGTACATTCAGCCTGCCCATACATGGTTCGAATCATGGCCAGTCTCTGCTGAATGGCCCAAGATTCAACCTGTCTATGGTTGGCTTTAGTTTCAGCCCTGGTTCACACTATCACATCGTATGTAATTCGCACACGAATCACACCACACTCCTGCACAAATCATGTGTGATTCTGTGTGATTTGAGCCCATCATTTCGTATTGCTCAAATCGCTCCACATTCGCATGAAAAAAGATGCAGGCACATTTTTTTTGCCGAACCGGAGTCAGATTGTATGGGTGTTCATACCCATGCAATCTGATTCAGGCAAACACACTGATTTCTGCAACCTGCTTTTGGGATGTTGTTAATTTGTACATGACACCCGAAACAGATCGCATGAACACAGTGCGACTGCTATGCAGTGCGATGAGAGAAACGCAGTGATTCCTGTGCATTTCCCGCACCCCATTAATGTGAACCAACCCTGAGTGTTCATTTAGGGCCCATTTGCACCAGATGCAGTGGAATGCACTTTTTTTTTTTACAATTTACTTTTTATTGATTTTCAAAGAGCTTACAACAACCAAAGTTGCATAGAAATGCAAAATAACAATCACAAATCAAATGAAAAAACTAAAAAAGATAGACTCATTGATGAAAGGCAAATGAATAGACAATGTCAGTGCATAACAGTGAATTAGTCAGTATTTTCAGACAACTGAGTGGACAAATCAAAAATAGAAAGATCCTACGGTTCCCAAACTGCTTCAAAGATGGGGACAGAGCTAGCCTGCATAGTAGTGAGGTACTCCATTCTTCTAATTTCTGTTATAACCTTTACCAATTCCGACCGTGTAGGAGATAGCCAATGCATAGGAATGGTTCTCCTGGCCGCTGTTAAAACATGAGAGGATAGTTTCTTGGCAAGTCTGGAGAGGCCTGGAAAAAGTAGACCCAGTAAAAAGTGGATGGGCTCAAATGAAATAGGAGCCTGTAAAAGTAGCTGAAAAAGGCTAAAGACCTCTCTCCAGAAAGGTGCAATGCGTTGGCAGGCCCAGCAAATGTGGAAAAGGGTGCCAGTTTCCACATCACCAGCAGACAGGAGAAGTACTCGGATTGCGAGCATGGAGAACCTCAGGGGTCTTATACCAAAACATCAATATTTTAGAAGTGTTTTCTTTATATGCTACACAAATAGAAGACCTAGAAGCAGCCTCCCAAATCCTGCTCCATTGATCCAAGGCATGTGGAATGCACTTCTGAGTGCATTCCCACTGCATAGACAGTCCACGTATAGCAAACTGCATTTTTTTTACACGGAAAAGGCTAAAAAATGCACGCAAGCACGTGTATATGCATGCAAACACACCGCAAAAAGGTTGTGATCTCAAAAGAAATGCAATCAGGCAAATACATAGGAAAAACACATTGCAAAAGCAAGTAAACATGCATAAAACGCCACCATCAGTCCCACCCGCAAGCCAAAGTCCTAGGTGTCACTCTAGACTCAAATCTGGCCTTCCAACCCCATGTCCAATCGCTGGCAAACTCATGCAGGCTCCACCTCCGCGCAACATCTCCAAAATACGTTCATTCCTAACGCCAGACTCTACTAAACAACTCATTCACTATTATCTCACGACTCGACTACTGCAACTCCCTCCTCACCAGCCTACCCCAACATAGGCTATCCCCGCTTCAGTCTATCCTGAACTCAGCAGCCAGACTCATCCACCTTACCAACCGCTCCGTATCCACCACCCCCCTCTGTCATTCCCTCCACTGGCTCCCGATTGCCCAACGCATTAAATTCAAACTACTAACATTGACATACAAAGCCATTCATAATACTGCCCCGAACTACCTCACCGACCTGATACCCAAATACCACCCTACACGTACTCTTCGCTCCTCACAAGACCTCCTTCTTTCTAGCTCGCTGGTCTCCTCCTCCCATGCCCGACTGCAGGACTTCTCCAGGACTTCCCTCATCCTCTGGAACTCACTAACCCAATCCATCAGACTGTCACCTACCTTCCTCACCTTTAGGCGCACCCTGAAAACCCATCTCTTCAGGGAAGCCTACCCCACCCTCACATTAAAGCCGATCTCCTCCAATCCTCCTATCACTCTATTCCCCACAGCCACTTCCTCCTGTACCACTATCCCCTCCCTCCTAGATTGTAAGCTCGAAAGAGCAGGGCCCTCGAACCTCTTGTATATTGTTTTGTTACTGTATTGTCTCATGTACTGTCCCCCACTATATTTTACAGCGCTGAGCAAACTTTTTGGTGCTATATAAACACTGTATAATAATAATAATAATAAAACCATGCGTCAAACCCACATCAACATGCATGCAACAACCTGCAGTTTCTGGTGTAAATGAGCCCTTAATTGATTACATCTAGACACTTGAAGCCCTAGATACTTATGTAAAGTATCTTCAGATGACTGGAAGGTTTGGCTGAGTTAGTGGGAAGTGAGGGGAGGAAAGGTTTGTCTCCATGTTTAGAAAAGTACTTGTAGACATAGAATCTCTTCTCCTTCTTGGTTCTTTACCATGACCTAACCTTTCCCTGACTAATATCCTTAGTCACTTCATCCTACATAACATGTTATGCAGCGTCACAAGGCTGCACCATTAATCACACTGAGAAGGGGAAGTATCTATGCATTTGAGGAAAAACAAAGACGCTGTAGAAATTTTCCTGCTGACCTACAGAGAGCTGAAACACAACCATATCACAGAAAGGAATGTGTGTGAAGCCAGAACAAGCTACAGAATAAGACAGTCTTCTTCCACTGAGCAGGAAATCCTTGATCCTTGTCCTTAGAGGTCATGTGATACTTCCCCTTTAAAAGCAGCCTGTGACCTAGCTGGTCCCCAGGGAAACATATACAAAAGGTAGATTTCTATAACTATAAAAAATAAATCACAAAATACAATTAAATCTTTACCAACAACTACTGGGGAATGGGAAACAAATATGTTCTATGCATTGCCGCATGAAGGACAAGCTCGTATTTTATTGGCTGTACAATGTGCTTCACCATTATGAATGGGAGCGAGGGCGGCCATCCACATACCTCCATGCTTTCAAGTGACCCTGACAGACTGCAGGTAAAAGAACTGAAAAATCTAGTATTTAAAGTGGTAGTAAATTATTTTGTTTATTCTTTTACATAAAGGAAAGCCTAATAATAAAAAATATAGGGTCTGGGATTATAAATACAATTTCAGTCTTTGCAGATGACACCAAGCTGTGCAGTGGAATAACGTCCTTACAGGATGTCTCCAATTTATAAGCCAACCTCAATGCTCTGTTAAATTGGGCAACTATGTGGCAAATGAGGTTTAATGTTGATAAATATGTTTACAATCTTGGGGGCTAAGAATATGCATGCTTCATACATACTAAGGTGGGGGGGGGGGGGGGTACAACTGGGGGAATCAATGGTGGAGAAGGATCTGGGAGTTCTGGTAGATCACAAGCTTAATAATGGCATGCAATGCCAAGCTGCGGTTTCTAAAGCGAGCAAAATCCTCTCTTGTATTAAAAGAGGTATACACTCCAGAGAGAGAGATATCATATTACCCCGGTACAAATCATTAGTAATACCTCATCTGGAGTATGCAGTTCAATTTTGGGCACCAATTCACAAAAAGAACATTGGGGAACTGGGGAAAGTGCAGAGAAGGGCAACCAAACTGATAAAAGTCATGGAGAAGATCAGCTATGAAGAATGATTAGAGGAACTGAATTTATTCTCTCTTGAGAAGAGGAGATTAAGGGTGGATATGATCAACATGTATAAATACATCAGTGGTTCATATAGTGAACTCAGTGTAGAGTTATTCACCCTGAGGTCATCACAGAGGACAAGGGGCACTCTTTACGTCTGGAGGAAAAGAAATTTAATCTCCAAACACGGAAAGGTTTCTTCACAGTGAGAGCTGTGAAAATGTGGAATAGACTCTCTCAAGAGTTGGTTCTGGCCAGCTCAGTGGATTGCTTTAAAAAAGGCCTGGATGCTTTCCTAGATACACAGAATATAACTGGATACTAACATTTATAGGTAAAGTTAATCCAGTGAATATCCCATTGCCTCTTGGGGTATCAGGAAGGAATTGTTTTGCAGGAGCAAATTGGATCATCCTTTGCTTGTTTATTTGCCTTCCTCTGGATCAACTGTGGGTATAGGTTTAGAACTTTTTTTTTTTTTAATGGTTGAACTGGATGGGCTTTTGTCGTTTTTCAGCCAGACTAACTATGTAACTATGTACTGTATAATAAGTACTCCTAGACATGCATTATTTAGGAAATATTTACTTGTAAAGTCACTGATGACATTACTGGCACATGTACCCTGAAGGAACGGAATACTCCTGGAATTCCTTCAGAGCCCTGTGCCATAAACAATGACACCCACTGACATCATCGCAGGTTGTTCATTCAAAGGACCGGAGTCCACGAACCGGGAAGGAAGACCAGGTGAAGAGTGAAGATGGAAGCCCTGTCAGCGATGACAGCGTGTCACTGGAGGGCTTCGTTTTAAGGTAAGTTTAACATAATGTGCTAGTATATTATTGCCTTGCAGGAAAAAAAGTTTTTTTTCTCCCCCAAGTTTACTACTGCTTCAAGGTACCCTTGCACACTGGGGCTTTGGTAAACGCTTTTCACCTAGCAGGAGAAAAGAAACTTCAAAAACGCATCTAAGACACATTTTTGCAAACACGTTTAAGTGCATAAAGCGCTTCGGCTTATTTGCAATGTTTTTTTTTTTTTTTGTGGATTTTTTTTCATTATTCACTTGCAGTGTGTCTTTGAACTTGCTGGAAAATTTGACTACTACAGAAAAAAAATCCATTTTTTTAAAGCATTTTTTAAGTTAGTATCTGTGTCAGCAAGTGTCAGTGTGTTTTAGGTAGGATAAAAAAAGCAAAAGGCACAACGTTGTTTCTGGGCTATACTATGGGTACAAACAACAAAAAATATACACACATATGTGGTATCACTGCAGTTATCAGGAGCAGGGAATTTATTTTGGGTTCTTTGGTGGTAGGTTATGATAGTAGCAAGAAATAAACAGCTACATTTAAAAAAAAAATGTTTTTTTTTACTATTTTAGGACAGTTTTCCTTTGATAACAAAAAAAATCAGGAGATATCCATTACCACCAAAAGAAAGCTCAGTTTGTAATGGTGGCAACAGGGATCCTGGTGACAACTTTAGAGCAGAATGAAAAACTCTGGGCGCTGTCCACTTGCTGCGGATTTGAGGAGGAGGGGACTGGGGGTGAGGATAGCCATTCAAGCCACTGAGTTGGACTAGAAACTCTGGGCATCACTTACCTGCTGCTGTTTGGAATGGCTTACCTGACAACTTACCTCTCAGGTAAGCTGTATGGGGCCCCATCATATATGATGGTGTCCCCTTTTGCCAATAGCTGTGTTCTGTCCTACATT